CTTTCCCCACATCGCTGTGGTATCCAGCCAGACCTGATGCTGACACAAAGTGAACGTAGACTCGCTTCAAACCGCTTGGCTGTGCGGGGTACTGAACGCGGCCTAAGATTTTGGCGCGAGAGAAATAGAGCGTGCGAAGTAAAAAAAAACGTGTGTTGGTGGGTGTGTGTTAACAACACCCGATCACAAAGAACTGTGTTCAAGAAGTGTGTAGTGTGTAGGCACACCGAATTCAAACTAAACAGCTGTATGTAGGGCTGCACTCTGTGTGTTGTGTGTGGTATCAAGAGTCTTTATTGTGCTGGATATTTCATACTCAAAAAGTTATTGTGTAGTCTGGGGTGGCTCGAAGGTTGGTTGCAGTTGCATTGTGTGAATAGTGGAATGTGAATGAATTTATTCGTTTGTAATATGAAGGGTTTCTCTTCAGTGGGGAATGAGATACAGCAACCCGTGAACAGCCTGTGTAGTGCTGTGAGGTTATTTGCTTTGTTTTTTAAGACTTAATTAAGATTAAAATTTGCTCATTCCATTTTTATCTCATCTTCAGCGCACTCGAGACACGTATACATAGACTCTAGATATCTAGATATCTAGATCTAGATCTAGATCTAGATCTAGATCTAGATTCTAAATGTCATTTATTGACTCTTGCAAGTCAACTTACTTTGCCGTACTGGCCGATGCATTGTTTTTCTTTGTTTTTTGTTTTCTGCATATATAGCGACTAGATCTAGATCTATCTATATCCGTGCGCTCATATGACCTTATGCAGTTGCAAGCGCCGTAAAACCCCCTACTATAAATAAATACTATATCCGTACACATCAAGTCTTCATTCTTTTCTGAACATTTTGGTGGGCATTGCAAGTTGTACTTGAAGCTTGAAACCTTATTCGTGATGAAAATACAAACGTATGCTTATAAATGTTCTTCGAAACTTATTACAGCAAAACGTGCCAACGATTGAGTCTACTTATCGTATGGAGGGCAAAACGCCGATTCGATAAAATATTGTTATAATGTCTCTTTATTTTTTTAAAGTAAATAGTCTTTGTCGTTGTTGTGGACCTGTTTACCACCCCTTGACTGTATCAATACTTTAGATAGCAACGTATCATGTTTGTTAGCCTAATTTGAGCAACTGGTTTTATTTTCATTTCATGAATGCTCCTGGGGCAAAAGAATATGTGCATAAATAATATATTTCCTCCCTTGACTTCGTTGGCGTGGTTTTGAGTGTGCAAAATCTGGATAATCATCATGCAGTGGTGTGTTCAGTTGCAGAGTATGTTTGCTGCACTGCCATCCTAATTTTTCTAACTGTTGTTTGTTTTTGTTTTTTGTTTTTATTTTCCAGGACACATGGTCTCTATAATGTGATATGTTGTTTTAAGAAGAATAAAGAATTGTGTTTTCTGCTCTTCCGTGGGATACAATAGCTCCCTCAAAATGTGACCTATTTATTATAAATTACCTCCTTGCCTTATTTACTATTTCAGTGCCTTGCGAAAACTCACACTTTGGCACCGTCTCTTTGACTCTGTGCGATGAATCATGGTACTAAAAGAGTTAACATTTTTACGTTGATGAATGTTTTATAATTTATGCGTGGGTTTTAGTTTCTTGGATTTCTCATGTGTACTTTTAAGAGGTTTTACAGGGTATGTAAACGCACGTGCTTTTTGAAAAATAAAAGAAAGAAATATCGAAAGTAAGACAGGTAGGCCTCTATGTTATAATACCAAAGAAAAACATATGTGAGGCAGCGTGGTGGAATCAGCCTCTCGTCAAAATAATGAAATCGAAGAAAACAGCAGTGTCCCTGCGCAGCAATTTTTATAAAATTTTTGTTTTTTGGCTGAACACCTGTTATGTCCATTTACAAACACATTCCTTTGAGGATTTCACCAAAAACGTTGATTAAAGGCACAAAAATATGAAATTACAGTTTCCATGGACTCTCCAGCTTTGGAATTTACCAAGCTTTGGCGGCCATTATCTCGCTAATTTTACCTCTTAAACCAGGTGACCCCCCACCTCCTTCAATCCAAAATATCTCCACTTCTATCAAAGATGGATGGGTAGTTTTTTTTCATTGAACACAAGACAAATGAACAAGCTTTAAGATGATACCAATAAGTCAATATGCCAAAAAATTGACGAGAGCCTGATTCCACCACGCTGCCTCACATATTTTAATGCTCGTATTTAATCTTTGATGACAAGAGTATTAAATCAGTGGTTTTGACACTCTAGTCCAGGTTGAAAATATACGCGTGACCTTCTTTGGACATGATTTAGAGATAATCCATTATGTGTTAGCTCTTTATGGAAACAGAAGTAGAAAACCTGGCTCTTTGCCAAATACGATTAAAATTTCATGCTTGCTATTTAGATTCTGTCGGTCGAGTGCGTGGGCAGCATAGTAATGTGGTGAACAAGTCCTTTTAAAAGCACATAGAGGCTGGGCTATGTGTTACAGTGTTCCATGCAACCACATATTTTAATGCACATGAGGCAGGCAAATTGTTTCTATACACGTTTAAAGCGATTTCTTTCATTGAGACGTTTTCAAGGTGACTTTTGTGTCACTTCTCAAGGGTGATGGTGTACACAAATTGTATCAAAAGTTTTCAAACACTGCACAATGCACCCCTCCCCTCCCTCTCTCTCTCTCTCTCTCTCTCTC